CACACACACACACACACACACACACACACGAGCACGCACGCACACACATCTGTTACGCTCTCCAAGTAGATTTTTCTGGGTGTTCCCCTTCCTTGTGGGTGGTTGGCGGGTGCTCTTGTGTGGTTTGCTCCTTATCAAACATCTATCATCCTTATCTCCCCTCCTTCTTTTTTATGTTTGTCACTCTCCTGAAACACCTCTAATCTTCGACAGTTATTTGACTTTACTTTTTTTGTGTTGCAAGTGCCGTATTACACTTGCTAAAACTAAAACAAACAATACAAAATTCCCCTGCCTTGTTTGTCTACAAATTGCCCGTGAGAGGTAGATGTTCAATGATTCAATTGACCCGTTTTGTAGGTGGTTGGAGGGTGCTCTGGTGTGTTTGCTTTTTCCTTCCTATTACACATCTATCGTCCTTATGTTATCTCCTGCTTTTTTACACATCTATCGTCCTTATGTTATCTCCTGCTTTTTTACACATCTATCGCCCTTATGTTATCTCCTGCTTTTTTGTGTTTGTTACTCTCTTGATACACCTCTAATCTTCGGCAGTTATATGACCTTATTGTGTTTCAAGTGCCGTAAAACACTTACTAAAACTAAACTAAACTTCTTTTTTGTGTTTTGTTACTCTCTTGTAACACCTCTAATCTTCTGGCGCTCATATGACCTTATGCAGTTGCGAGCGCCGTAAAACCTCTACTAAAACAAAAACAAAACTTATATAATATGTAATGACCTTATTGTGTTGCAAGTGCCGTAAAACTCTCACAAAAACTAAGCCACCTGTTGCGTTGTGTTGCAGGTCCCCGCCATGGTCCGGTCGGTGTCTCAGAGCAAGGTCCTGGCCATGAGGCAGCAGTGTCAGCTGGTCTGGGAGTCCTACTTCTCTTCTGTCGACAAGATCATCAACACAGTCCTAGAGGTAGGTCGTACATTTACGGGGTCGTACTGGTAGGTCGTACATTTACGTGGTCGTAGACCAACTCGGTCGTAGAGGTAGGTCGTACATTTACACAGTCGTAGATATAAGCGGTCCTAGATTAACGCGGTCGTAGAGGTAGGTCGTAGATTAACACGGTTATAGAAGTAGGTCGTAGATTTACGTGGTCGTAGATCAACACAGCCATAGAGGTAGGTCGCAGATTTACGCGGTTGTAGATCGATGCGGTCGTTGTGTATGTTACTCTCTTGTAGCACCTGTAATCTTCGGCACTTAAATGACCTTATTGTGTTGCAAGTGCCGTAAAACCTCTTCTACTAAAACTAAACTTATCTCCCCTTCTTCTTTTTTATGTTTGTTACTCTCTTGTAACACCTCTAATCTTCTGACGCTCATATGACCGTATGCAGTTGCGAGCGCCGCAAAACCTCTACTAAAACTAAACTGACCTATCGCCGTAAAACCTCTACTAAAACTAAACTGGCCTTATGTTGTTGAGAGCGCCTTGAAACCTCTACTAAAACTATACTGACCTTATGCAGTTGCGAGCGCCGTAAAACATTTACTGAAACTAAAATAAACACCGTTCCCCCCAGGTTGTGAAGAACCGCGTGCACAAACACCAGATCCGACCCTCCTACCACTGGAACACGGTGCCGGGCGCCCATGTGGTGCTGCCCGAGTGGTCCGACACCCCCAACCACTTCCCCTTCTACTACGGCCCGCTGGGGGAGCGAGCCACGGACAAGTTCACCGCGGTTATCTACGCTACCAGCCCGGTCACCGCTTCCTCGCCGCTCTTCCGAGTTTTGCACACGGTGGCCAAGTCCAAGTTTTGTCATAAGGTGAGTGTGTGGGTGTTGTTGGTGGGTGGTTGGCGGGTGCTCTGGTGTGGTTTGCTTCTTCTGTCCGATCAAACGTCTGTCGTCTTTATCTACCCTCCTTCTTTTTTTGTGTATGTTACTCTCTTGTAACACCTCTAATCTTCGGCACTTATGTGACCTTATTGCGTTGCAAGTGCCGTAAAACACTTACTAAAGCTAAAGCTGTGTTGTTGGTGTTGTTGTTGTTGTGGTTTTGTTGTTGTTGTTGTTGTTGTTGTTATTGTGGTTTTGTTATTGTTGTTGTTGTTGTTGTTGTTGTTGTTGTTGTTGTTGTTGTTGTTGTTGTTGTTAGTGGTGGGGGTGATGGTGGTGTTGTGTTGTTGTTGTTGTTAGTGGTGGAGGTGATGGTGGTGTTGTGTTGTTGTTGTTGTTGTTGTTGTTGTTAGTGGTGGGGGTGATGGTGGTGTTGTGTTGTTGTTGTTGTTAGTGGTGGAGGTGATGGTGGTGTTGTGTTGTTGTTGTTGTTGTTGTTGTTGTTAGTGGTGGGGGTGATGGTGGTGTTATGTTGTTGTTGTTATTGGTGGTGGTGTTGGGGTGGGGATGGTGGTGATGTTGTGTTGTTTTGTTGTTGTT